CCCCCCCCCCCCCCCCCGTCCTCGGGCCATAGGATTGAGCTGAGGGGGTGAAAGCCAGAGCTTGCGGTGCTGCTTAGGTCAGGCTGGGAGTCATTGCCCTGGCTGTGGGTGACAGTGGCGCAACAACACCCTCCTATCCGCTGAGTCACGGTAGGAGTAGTGACTGGGTTCGAGGCAGTGCGGTTGCTGGTTGGTGGAGGGCACCTAGCCAGGCTTCCTGTCTGGCACGGCACAGTGGGCTCCCGGGTGTTGCGGCGTATGTATCCCGTGAGCGCCTCCTGGCGGCCGTTCCTTGAGCAGCAGCACCTCTGGTGCGCAGGGCGGACCTACGAGTAATGAGGGTTCCAGTCCCGGTGGTTATGACTAAGTTGGATGTTTTTATATCCCACACTCGTTGTCCCAGCTGCCCGGGCACTCCCTGCGGGCTCATGTGTTCGTGGACAGGTGGTGACTGGAGGAGAGGTTGCAGTCCCAGGATAGAGACTCCTGCTGCGCGAGAGGGGCGTGCTTCATCCTTAGACCCAGCAGAAGAGCATGTGAACTCTACTACGTCCAGGTGCTCTCACTGCTGTCTCCCGCAGCTTTCCCAGCTGTGTTTGTCTGGTGGGCGGTGGGGTCGGCGACCTCTCAGGAGTGGGAAAGGGCCTTCCCTGCGGCCCTCTGGATCTTTTCCCCTCCACAGCCGGATCCTGCCCTTTCTATTCTAGTCGCGTCCTGGTCTGTTTTACCACATGGGGTCGCTCTTTTGGTAGTGCCGTGAAGTTCTCTATTTTTAAATTGAGCAAGCAAGTGGGGAGCTTCCCCGATGGGGCCGCGTGGGTCAGTTTCGTGTCATGAAAAGTGCTCAGAGTCCTCGAAGGTAGATGTCCCACGATGGGACACCCCATTCACCTCCCCCACCCCCGCAGCTGAGGACTCGCCCCCGGGTCAGGGATGGGCAGTTCTGGGGACCCAGATACTGTAGGTCAGTTTTCTTGACTCTGTGGTGGCTTTATCCTGTGTGACCCCAGAAGGCCAGAGAAGGCCTTTCTGTGAATTTCTTGTTGATGCTGTATGAAGTTACCACAAACCTGGTGGTTTAAAATAGCAGAAGTGGGGCCGGAGATTTGGCTCAGTGGCACCCGTGCCTGCCAGACAAGCACAAGGTCATGAGTTCGATCCCCGGTACCAAAAAAACCCCCCAAACAAAAAAACTAACTAGAAGAAGTGCCTGCATGGTGGTGCATGGCTGTAATCCCAGCACTCAGGAAGCTGAGGCAGGAGGATCACTTCCAGTTTGAGGCCAGCCTGTGCTACATAGTTCAAGATCAGCCTGAATTAAATAGCAATACCCTGTTGTTGTTGTTTTTAAGCAGAAGTTAAAATAAAATTAAATAGCAGAAGTTTATGATTTTATGGTTTTGGAGGTTCACGTCAGAAATAGGTCTCAATGGGTTGATATCAAAGTGATGACAGATTTTTGTTTCTCCCCAGAGGAGTGGCAGGGAATCTACTTTCTGGCCTGTTCTATTTCCTGGAGGCTGCTGGCTCCTTCCCTCTCAGTTGTATCACTGCAACCATGGCTCTTCCTCTTTTGCTTTCCATTCTTTAGTGGCCTTTGTGACTATATTGCCCACCCCCACCACAGGACAACCCTGGCTACTCTCCCTTTTAAGGTCAGCTGAGTAGCAACTGTAAACCCACCTCCTTCCCATAGAGCAGTGGTGGCGAACCTATGGCACATGTGACACAGCAGGCACACACAGCCCTCTCTGTCAGCACAGGAGCCAAGTTGCCCCAGCAGCTGAGCATTGGGGAACAGTTGTTTCTAAACTAAAAATCTCAATATTCAGGTTTAATGGTAGTTTTGGCACTTTGCGATAAATAAATGAGTTTTGGATTACAGTGTGGGCACTCAGTCTCTAAAAGGTTCACTATCACTGCCATAGAGCATAGCATATTCACAGGTTGGGGAAATAGGAGGTGAACATCTTTGGTGAGGCTGTTATTCTAACTTGAATACCTTTTACAGAGACCTGGGCAAGAGTGCCCCTCTCAGGACTAAAGGAGTGCTGGGGATTTAGCTCAGTGGTTCCACCGCCTGCCTTGCAAGCGGAAGGTCCTGAGTTCGATCCCTGGTACCAAAAAAAAAAAAAGGACTAAAGGAGACACTACTTCCATCCTGGGTTTTGGTTTAGAAGAAGAACACAAGGAAATACTGCATTTTTATCATCAAGGAAATACAATGTATGAAAGTTCCTGTTTTCCTACATTCTTACTAACATTGGATGTTTTCAACCTTTGAGATTTTAACCAGTTTTTGACTTTACAACTGGGGAAGTTGAGGTTTGAGGAAGGCAAGTTAAACTTGTCTGAGATCTTGTGCAACTTTCTGCTTCCTGACTCCCAGTCAGGTTTCTTACTTAGCACCATTTATAGGGGATGTGAATTCACCCACGAGGCTTGGAAACCACTGGGTCACTTTTTAACCCATCCAAGCACCTGCAGCTGTGAGCAAATACATATTGGGAGCTGTGAGCATAGTGATTGAGGACCAGGGAGCAGAGGCTGGTGTTGTTTGAGAATCCCCCTCCTCTCATCTGTCTGCACCCTAGATGGTCTCCCTGCATCCCTGTTTTCCCCCTGTGATCCCTTCTCTGGACCCTACCGAGAAGCTGCAGGAGAGTGTAATACAAAACAGCTGGCCACATTGCCTGGCGAGCTCTTCCCTGGCTTGATAATTCAGTGCCCTTTTTAGCTTGCTTCTCTGTTCTTGTTCCTCCCGTCTCCGCCTAAATGCTACCAGATGGGAATCCTGACCTGGCCTTGGCTAGCCATGTTAGCCAGCCTTGAAAGTAGCCCTCATGATGGTACTCCTGCAGATAGATATGGCAGGCATGATGGTTTATCTTTTTTATTATGTATTTTTAGTACATGTTTGCTGTACATAATGATTACATTTATTGTGGGGAGTTTGTACATGTACATAACACATCTTAATTCTTTTTTGTCCCCTTCTCCGATCCTTCCCTGCTCCTTCCAACTCTTGATCCCCTCCCCATTTGAAAAGTTCTATTTCTTTTCTTCTTTTTTTTAATGAAAAGTTCTTTGTTTAACTTTTTTTTGGTACCGGGGATCAAACTCAGGTCCTTGCGCCTGCAAGACAGGCAGCGGAACCACTGAGCTAAATTCCCAGCCCCTTTTTTATGAAAAGTTCTATTTCAATTTTCCTTCGATTCTCTTTCTCTTTCATTTTGAGACAAGGTCTCCCTATGTAGCTCAGGCTGGCCTTGAACTCACTATGTAGCACAGGCTAGCTTTGAACTCACAGTGATCCTCCTGGCTCAGCCTCCTGAGTGCTGGGACTATAGGTGTGCATTGCTATGCCTGGCTTTGATTCTCTTTTTAAAAATCCTCCTCATCTCTTGTTCCCCTTCCCATTTAAAAAAGATTTCCTTACTTTCTATTACTTAGCCTTTATTTTGCTCTTTAGTTATATTTTGGGTTTCTCATATAGGAGAAATCATATGGTATTTAAACTTGCATGTCTGATTTATTTCACTTAACATT